TGTGTGTGTGTGTGTGTGTGTGTGCATATAAATACATAATATGGTTTCATCTTTTTCCTCATTTTCAGAGGATGAGCTTCTTGTACCTCTTGGGGTTTTTCCTGGCTGTCCTTCCAAGCCTTCATGCTGACTCCTCCCTGCGTTTCATTGCTGTGGGAGATTGGGGCGGAGTCCCCAATGCACCTTTCTACACTGCTCGTGAAGTAGCTGTGGCCAAAGAGATGGGGAGAACAGTTGCTTCACTGGGAGCTGATTTCATCTTATCCCTTGGAGACAACTTCTATTACAATGGGGTGAGCGATGTGTATGACAAGCGTTTTCAGGTAAGGAGCATGAAAACACCATCGTGGCTCTCTGAATGATGGAATTAGATGCAACTAAAACTAATTTCTCTGCTTAGATATAGTGTATTTAGTGTTACAGCTTCAGATACCTGAAACTCTGAATTATTTTAGCCAGTTTATTTTTAAAATGTAGTAAGATCATACTTATAGTAAATATGATGCCATAACAATTAGACATAATTCCTGGTTCTTGTGCAATCCTTGTGTGCATCTAGTTGGCATTCTGCAAGGTCTTTGGGGCTAATATTGAGCAATTGGCTAGCAATATGTAGATGTTTCTCATGCTACAGATAGTACAGACAGTAGGTAAGTATGAGGTGGTAGAGGATAGTTGAGGAGTGAAGACAGAAATTGGAAAGTGAAGCAAAATGTTCAAGGAAGTCTTTGCTAAATGATTCCATAAACCATTCTCAGACAATTAGGATACTTCTACCCAGGCAGCATTTTTGCCCCCTGAAGCATTGTCATGCCACCCCACAAGTTACTCCTCACTTTGGTGCAAAATAAGCATAATAATTGGCACCCAGCCAGTGTTGCACCCCATGTTCATGCTGGCCTTTAATTCCATGGTGAATTAAAAAGAAGAAGCTATCCACTTAGTGGAGAGTGGCAACACAAAAGATGACTGAAATGGTGGTGAGGCAGAATGAGGTGAGAGGTCCTGCTCTTAGGAAAACGCCCACCTTGAAGTTCAGAATTATAGCCACTGCAGGACTATTCTTACATATATTTCTTTTGTGGGAAGTTTGGCTAAAGGTTAATCAACAGAAGCATGTTAATGTCAAGGAAATAGCCTCATCCCAAATCCCCTCCATCTCTGCCCTTTTGGCCCTCCTTCCCCCTTCGCTCACTTGCATGCACCATGCCTTCCATCCCTTCTTCGCTCGGTCACACGCATGCACTGCGCCCTCTTTCCCCCTTCACTCGCTCACCTGCACCACACCTGTCTCCCCCCTTTGCTTGCTTGCATGCACCAGTGCCCTCTGCTCCTTCACTTGCTCGAGGACTCTCCAGAGGCACTTCTGGCATGCACTCTGCAGCTCATGTTGGAAGCTGCTGGCCATTCATGAGGCTTTCTCCTTCTTCCTGCAAAGCCCCAGAGCTGCAGTGCAGTGCTAAGGAGGCACAGTGCATGCAAGCAAGCAAAGGAGGAAGGAGGGCGCTGGTGTGTGTGAGGGAGGGAAGGAGGGCATGGTGCGTGCATACAAGTGAGCGAAGGGGAAAGGAAGGCACTGGTGCATGCAAGCGAAGGAGGGGAGGGGACAAGAGAAGGAGGGCGCAGTGCGTGCGACCAAGCAAAGGAGGAAGGAGGGTGTTGGTGCATGCCAGCGAGTGAGGTAGAAAGGACGCTGTGCATGTGAGCAAAGAGGGGAAGGAGAGTGGCAGTGCATGCAAGTGAGGGAAGAAAGGCTGGGGTGGATGGGAGAGAATTACCCGAGTGACTTGTGACCTCCCCTGCCAGCTTTCCCTTTGATTTTGCTTGCTTTGAAGGTTGCAAATGGTGCTCACATGATTGCGGGGTGCTTGGCGACCAGTCATAAGTGCAAACAGGTTACCAAGTGCCTAGATTGCAATCATGTGACTGCGGGGGCACAGCAACAGCCATAACTTCGGGGACCAGTTATAAGTCCATTTTTTCAGCACTGTCATAACTTCTAACGGTCGCTGAAAGAAAGTCCTAACTCAAGGACTACCTGTATTTGGAAAGAATTCCATTTCAGGCCTCTGACAAGTCCTCCCTGCCAGCAGAACTTGCAGGGATTCGTAGGCAATGAAGCACCTCTTGAAAGGCAGCATGCTTCTCTTTAATTAAGCCTCAGAAGAAAAAGGCTGACCAGTGACTCGGCCTAGGTTCAAGTGCACAGAGTCCCTAGCTTTTCCTAGGGGGGTATGACGGAGTGGAGCTGTCAATTTGTAAAGTCACCGAGATAATAATAAGCGCCTGGGTCAAGGCCCATTTTTCCAGTATGTGACCCCAACCTGCTATTGTAAAAAAAAAAAAAAGAGATTACCAGTTTTTGTGACCCCTGGAAAAACCTTGACATTTCTACCAGCAGTTGATACTGTGCAAAAAATATTTCTTCCTCTTCCACGCAGAACACAGATAGATAAAAATTTCCTGTTCCTTTGTAGGAAACCTTTGAATCAGTTTTCCAAGCACCCTCACTGCGTAAATTGCCTTGGTACGTTGTGGCTGGAAACCATGATCATTCTGGGAATGTCTCTGCCCAGATTGCCTACAGCAAAATCTCCAAGCGTTGGTAAGGCTGTGGTCTCTTAAACCATAGAAAGAAATTTAGTTGCTGGATGCTCAGGTGTTGGTGGGGAGAGAGTATGCAAGAAGTGCCATTACCTTGCGGTGAAGTGTACATTAGCTGCTAGAATATTCACACTAGAATCATGGAATGCTAGAACTGGAAGAGGCCACTGGGGCCAATCCTGCTCGGTGCAGGCATCCTATTAAAGCATCTCAGACAGATGGTTGTCTAACCTCCACTTGAGCACAATCACTGTTGGCAGGCTACCACCTCTCTAGGGCATTGGTTCTAATGTTGAACTGCTCTTACTATTAGAAAAAAGGGTTTTTTCCCCCCCAAACACTAGCCATCAAGGGCCATCAGATTATGCTGTCTCTTAAAAGGCATGAATAATTCTTTTAAATTCCCTTTTACAATAACATAGCAAAAATCCCTTTATTATCCTTGGGGTATGAGAACAGAAGTTATACAGAGACTGTGCGCTTCCTTTAAGTTCGTATTTCCTTCTTAAACAGAACCCCATCCCCTAACAACTCTGCTAATTGAACGGTTGTGTCCTGCCCTACCCACAAACACATTCAGCCGTAACACTTTCATTCTTCAGCTCATACATGTCTGCAGCAAACCAAAATTGCATCAAAATAGCAGCACACAGATTAATGTCATGATTCAAACTCTACTCTTAGGTAGTTGCATTCTGACATAAGTCAGTCACATTTTTTGCATCATACATCACAGTGCACAATTTATCACTGGCCTCCCCCCATGGATGCCCATGCTGTGGCTGTGGAAGTGTTCCTGTTTGCCAAGGGATCTTCTGGATATTGTAGAGGCTTCTGGGGCATCATTTATTTTATTCCTCCTATGATTTTATATCTTGTCTTTATATGCACCTGCTTAGATTTTTAAAAAGGCACTTGGCTCCTGCAGGGATTATTAGTTATAAGCTGTTTCTGGCCTTTGAATGAACTTAGAGTGGAGTCTGACCAACATCTGTATTGTTATTAGTGGCCAACAGGCTGACTTCCTGAGATCCTCTTCTGCCATTATTCCTGTTTACACTGATAAATTCTAAGGAATCCCATGTTATTGTAAGTCTGAAAGCTGACTTGGATTAAAGTTCTGCACCTCTCTAGGCTGATTGGCTGTGGTGGTCCAGTCACATGGGCAAGAAGCATTCTCCTTGTTTTTTCTTCTCCAAACCACAATTGTAAATAAAGTTTTGGTTCAAGGACCCAAAGCTGTCAGTTTAAAGAGATTCTGGAATCTGACAACCACAAGTCCCAGGTAGTAATCACAGTACTGAAACAACAAAACAGCAGAGTTTACACAAGTCTAGGTCAAAATATATTGATTGGATCCATATATCAGAATTAAATCATGATTTGTTTGACCACAGTTTGTTAAATTGTAGTTGTCAGGTTCCATACAACACACAAGGCTGTAATCCATGATTTACAAACCACTGTGGCTAGGTCCCCACAATTTAGCCAAAATCAAGCAAGTCACATTGTGAGCTTGTTCAAGTGACGTGCTCAACCACATCTGGCACAAACTATGGGTAAGCTCCTTGCTCACTGATTTTTTGCCAGATATCAGTCAAGGGGAGAGCAGTCCCTGTTTGCTAGAGAGCAGCCATCTTGACAGAAACGCAACCACCTTTGTAGTGGCTGTCACTTCCTGCCCTCTTTTCCATTCTTGTTTACATCTTTGGTGGTCTATAGATTTATTCCAATTTCAGGTCTACCCCATGTACCCATCATTTAAACCTTATCGTTGTATTCATCTGGATAGTGCTGATGTCCAAAGTGACAACTTCAATAAATCTATTTTGTTCAGGCATTTGTTATGGTGTTCCACTTGGGACCGAGATCTTTTTTTTTTTAAGTAACCTAGACGGTATGCCTTTTGCAGATCCTGCCTTGACAATGCTCTTGTGAAGTAGAAGGATGTTCTCTTGCTTTCCTCCAACACTTCTTCCTCCGACCTTTTTTATGCAGGCATTTCCCTAAGTATTACTACAAGCTGAGGTTCAAGGTGCCTGGCAGCAACACTACTGTTGCCATCCTCATGATAGACACAGTGACCATCTGCGGAAATTCGGATGACTTCCAAAACGAGCAGCCCTTGCGTCCTCAGAATGCAGGCATGGCCCGTAGCCAGTTGTCTTGGCTCCGCAAACAGATGGCCAGTTCCCAGGATGACTACTTGCTGGTGGCTGGACACTACCCAGTATGGTCTGTGGGAAAGCATGGCCCCACTGAATGCTTGGTGAAGCAGCTTCAGCCACTGCTGCTGAAATACAAGGCCACTGCCTACCTGTGTGGCCATGATCACAACCTGCAGGTAAGAGAAAGAACCTCATCACTGAATTCTGCTGTCCTACGTAGGGAGGGAACCTGTGTCCCTCTGGATGTTTCTGATCTACAACTTCCAGTACTCTATTGCCGTATTGGCTGAGGTGGTTGCGGTGGTAGCACACAAACATTTGAAAGGCCACTGCCTTGAGTGTGCTATTGGATGCTTCCTGGAAAGGGATCCCAACTGATGAAAGAGAGAAGGTCTGAGCCTGAGCCACAGATCCATCAGGAAACTTGTCTTTCAACCTTTATTTTTAACCTGCAAAATGGGAAGGATAATAGGCTCCCTTATAATTGCTCTGGAGATGACCACGACTGTAAATGGTTTATAGAAGGCAATAAATGCAACATCAGTTCTTCATAAGCTGCTTGGGTGTTTGTAAATTCTCTGATGTGCCTTCCAGTCTACAGTCTCTGTTGCTCTTCTCCAGTTTCTTTTTTAGAATGATCTCAAGCAGAAGCTTTCTGCTTTTCGTTGTGGACTGGGAGAGGAAGACTGAGGCAGAGTTCTTTTGCCCTGACCTATCTTTGATCCTCTCGTGTTTGTACTGGGTTCTGTATTGCACCTATCCCTGCCTTCCCTCTGGTCAGCCCTTTTGGTTTCTTGAAAGTTCTCATCAAGTCTCTCCTTCATGAAAGCTTTTCTTGAATGAGCTGAGCTTCCCTGTGTGTGTTTCCTAAGGTCAAATGATCTGCCCCCAAATCCACTCTCTTTTGTTCATCTAACACACACTGAAAGCCCTTTCAGCACAGCCATGCATTTCATTGCCTGTGTCACCCAGCACACTCTGAGTGTTAAATACAGCAATTGTTCTCCAGGCTTAGTCTGGCTGGAGCAGCTAATATTTTTTTCCCATTGCTATGACCACGGCATTAGGTTGAGCTTGCCATGGTTATTCTGCAAGTCCCTAACTGAGCTAAAAGTTGAACCCCCCAAATGGTGTGATGTGATCCTGATATAAATCTGTTTCTTCTCCTTCTCCTTCTCCTCCTTCTCCTTCTCCTTCTTTTCTCCTATTGAATAGTACCTACAGGACAAAAGTGGCATAGGCCATGTGCTAAGTGGAGCAGGAAACTTCATGGATGACTCCAAGCAACACCTCCACAAAGTCCCAACTGGTTACCTACGGTTCTTCTATGGCCAGAACGCTTCCCAAGGAGGCTTTGCCTACTTTGAGGTTGATGGCAAAGAAATGAGAATCATCTACATTGAGGCCAGAGGCAAGTCACTCTACAAGACTTCACTGCCCAGGCGGAGGCGTTTCTAGAAGTCAGACAGCAGTTTTGCTAACTTCTGTATTAGCTGCTGTGACTCAGAGAGAGAGGCACTGGTGGCCTCTCTGGCTCACATACACCCTCGCTTCTTTCTCTTAGGTTGAGAACTGGCAAGTGTAAGAAGGTAACTACTCAGAGAATGTGCTACTCTTTCTCATATTTTGAGGGTCACCCCTGTTGGAACCCTGTAACCTTTCTCTACTCAGCAATCCAAACATTCCCAGTGAATGTAACCTCTGAAGCCCTGTGGGTATGCCTGTGGCTCCTCCCATCCCTTGACGACGGCAGGGCAAGAGTTGTCAGTGGTCCAGCTCGCTTGCTGTATGGATGGTGATTCCTATTTGTTTCTGAATGGTAGTACAGTTTAGATTTTCAGTGCTTTAAGATAGGCCCACTATAGGAACTGAAAACTTAGCAGTATCAGCCAGTGGCATGACCCCTACCTAGCTTAATCCCACTCTTATTCCTGGCCTTTGCTGGGTAATGTTACAATCCTGCTATGCAAGGATAAAGTATGGAGGGCAGTTTCTGTTGGCAGGGCTTTTAGCATCTACCTGTCATGCACACACAAGTAAAGGTGCCAATCACTGAGGAGTAGGCAGCACTGAGTAAGCATTTCTCCAATCTTTCTCCAACACTGTGAGGACAGTTCCTTGATTTGGTTATGTAGTCTGTCCTGGCAGCATGGTAAAAACTTGATCTTGTCATGAGCACTGTAGAAGCAATAATCAGACCTAATAATGCCACTAACTGTAAGGATCACATTAAAGGGAGATGAACTTTCATTTAAGAAAGATGAATATGCTGTCAGTTTCAGGTGAAGATAATGGGACTCAACAAGCTGAGGATTGGGGCAGAGATTAACTTTGCATAACACCTACTGCAGTTTGAAGTTTTTGAGAAAAGATAAAATTGGGTCCAAGAATAACAAAGGCTTTGTTGGCATTTTCCCCCACTGCCACCTTACATCCATCTTTTTACATCCATCTTTTTCTTCCTACCATTGTAGGTTCACAATCTTGCACTCTGTAGTATGAGTTGAAACAGTGCAGCAAGGGGTTTCCTCTTCTCTGCATGCAAAGAGGTCTGTAGAGCAGGGGTAGTAATGGTTGGGGAAGAACAGCATAGAGAACATCCCTCTCTTTGCAACAGGGTAAGGTCCCAGAATTTATGCTTTGACCATGTTAGTAATTATACTGTTTAGCCACTTGTTCTGCAAGGCATTGGACTGAATGATTCCTTCACTTATCCACCCAAGGTGTTGATGCCCCAATGCTGCAAACTTAGAGAATGCCATGATATATGTGCCAAAGGGCCACGAGACTTTCCTGTATTCTAAACAGATTATCTGACTAATGATGATTTGGCATGGCAAATACAGTGACTGAATGAACATCTGATAATAGATCACTTTCTTTCTTATGACTTACCTGCTTGGTGTTTGATTTTGCTTGCAATGTTAGCTGCTGTTATGTATTTGAAGTCATATATTTGCCAAATATTTGGGAAAAGTCTATCTCCTGTGAGATCTATCATTATGTACTGCCAGAATTCAATTTTATTCTGTATGTGGCATTCTTAATTTGCTTTACAAGAGAATACAGTCTTCTCATTTTTTTCTTGCAAATGACTGTTCAATAAATCTCTTAAGGAATAGTGTCTGCTTTTTCATTCATTTAATTTCTGTAGGATATTCTGAAAATGGTTTGCCTATCAAGTCTGGTTGCTTGGAGTGGCAAATTCTTGACTCACTGGACCTCAGATGCTCTTCCACATTGCTTGGCGAGATCATCAATGTCTTCCAAGGTTTCAGTTGTTCCAGAAAGCTTGATCTTAATGCAGGCAAAGTGTGACCGCTGACCATTGTTTACACAGAGTAAAGGAAGCAGGACCCGAAAATTGTTCTGCTGAATTTCAGGGGTAAACCAATAAGAAACTAAAGACATTTTCTACAAATGTTCAGTGGAAAACAATTTTAAAAAACAGTTAGACTTAACACCAGAATAAAAGCTGAAACCCAGAGAGTTGGTTACAAGTGGAATGGCATATTAATCTAATAAAATAATAAATAAATAAACCACGCAACACAAATCCAGTTTCCTAAAACTCTATTTGCCCTATTTTAGTAGGCAGGAAAATACCAAGGAGCAGGAGTATGCTTTTCTTTAGAACCTCAAACTGCATCTTTGCCTACATCTTCAGCTCCCTTTTACCAAATCATGTGTACTTGTCAGTTACCAAGGGAATTATTAGAAAAACCTATGGAAACTATTTTACTCGCACTAGGAACATGCCAGCTGAATATCAGTGATATTTAGGCAATAGGGATGGGGGTGTGATGCATTAAATCTTCAAAGAATGCAGAGAAATATTTCAAAAGGGAAACTGTTTTTCTATTCCATAACAGGATAGCTTCTTAATTTTACTTCTTCCATAACATTATGGATAAAAGCTATTGTGTCTTATCAAGTTAGCTTTAATTTTTAATAAGTCATCCTCAGTTAAAATTAGCTGCCTTAGGAACATGGTTTTGTTCACAAATCAATAGATAAAATAATTCCAACACAGTAGGAGTCATGTGAGTTGCTTTAGTGGAGAAATTAATTCTAAGTGCTTGCCCAGGAAGACTGCATCAGTTTGAAACCGGCTCTGGACCACCTGCCATGATGTCAGCAGCATGTAAGAGCCAAGCTGATATATTTCTGGCTTAGCTGCAGCATATTTGAGACCACAAGAAAATTTGTGGTTTCCTTAAAACGCTGCAGCCCTGTTCATGGGCTGGGTTTCCTAGGAGTCTGTAGGCACCCATCTGAAAGGCAGATCATTGCTCAACTGTCTTTCATGGAAATGTATTTAGGTATCTATTTGTTTAAAAGATTTATATGGCCGCCTATCTTATACAATACAACCCTGGGCATCTGTCAACAACAATATACAAAAATAAAGAAAACTCAGCCAAAATACAACCATTACATGCAACTAAGATGCCATAACACACCCATCCCAAATACACATTTGCTGTGTTCAACTCCCATCCTGGCCCAAGGAAATGTGATGTTGCAATACTCTGTGGCAACAGAGGCTAATAAATGGTGAGAATCATGGACTTCGGGAGTGTAGGAAAATATTCTTTTAAAGAGAGACTGTGTGGATTCAGCTAAAACTGGTTCTTTTGGAATTTGCAAGGGATTCCACAAAATAGCTGCAATGAAAGTTGGAAATCAGATCATAAAATGGAACATCTCAAATGTGTATCAAATCATCCCTGGTCCCACATATCCAGGATTTATATCTTCATTGCAGAAGCTTCTTATTCACACCAATATTCTACAGTGAGAATATTCAGCAATTGTGCCCTGAAAGGCAATAGTTATTTCCCATTAAGAAAGCCAGGTTCTCTTATTCATGAATCTTGACCATGGAATTTGAAAGGCTGCAGATGTGTAAAACTGGGGAGGAATGTGTAGGTTTTTAGGAGAAAAAAGTAATATATTTTCCGTTCAGCTTAAAATGTCGAATGGCATTTTCCCTGTTCTTTCTCCATTTGGTCTTGAAACAACCTTTTCTAGGCTACAAGTTATTTTGGCTCAAAGTCATCCGAACATTTGGAATACTGTATTGCAAACAGATCACAAAATGACTGCCACGGTAGGCACAGCCAGTCAAAAAACAAGCCTTTACCTGAAGACAAACTGGTGAGGGTGCTTCATGTCACCTTTTCCATTCCTTTGGGAAACTTCCTTTTTTCTGGGTAGAAAAAACAGCTACCCATCCCTTGTCTTTTCTGAAAACACGGTGTCCATAGGCCTACTGGGAAATAAAAATAATACTGGAGGACTGTTTGCAGCCTGTCAATTTTTATCTAATTAGAAGGGTCCTTTTTTAAAAAATAAAGTGTGTGGGAGCGGGGGGGGGGGGGAGAAGTCAGGCGGTGCAGTGAGTTTGGTGAACACCAAGGGAGCTGTCCACAGGCACCTCCCCAGGACACCAGGTTTTAAAGTTCAAAAACAGCACTTCTGAATTCTTCCCAGAAACTAATTGGAAGTCAGGGTAGACCATTTTAAAGGAAATAAAATGGCAACTCCCACATTAGAATGGCAGGGATACCATTTCTGAGCTGGTAAAAGGCATGGCGCTTTGCCTTGGAGAAATAAAAATGAACATGAGAGAAACAAATCCAACAAAAGCAAAGGGTGAGAATATAAAATCCCATTTCAGTTACGTGATGTGTGCAGATGTTTGGTGCCAAGAGGGTATTCTACTTATTATTCCCAGAAAAATACTGCAGATAGGAGCTGAATGCATGTAAAAGTTTGCAAACCATCTGAGAAACTTTCCTTCTTAAAACCCAGATGGGGCGGTGAGGTGCTTTCCAAAGTGGCTGTACAATATAAGCACGCAAGTCTCCCCAAGAAGCCACCAAACTTAAATAGCTGCCCTGCAGGACAGAATAAATCCCAGTAGCCCCCTTCTAGTTGATTTGTTAACTTTGTTTTGCTGCATACAATTTTCAGTGTGCTTTTTATGTCAAAATATACCACCTAAATGCTGCATTAAAAGACAATATTCCTCTCTTTGGACTCATCCATATTCTGTCCCCATTCCAGCTCTGAGGTGGGTTGCTTAGTGTTTGTGGAGGACACATCCTTACAATATAGGCTCTATTCTGGGGCCAACCTGCCACTGAGCTCTGGCAGGATAGTATTTTCCACTAGAGAAGAGAACAAGCCTTCTTTGCACAGCAAACTATGCTGCATGGAGGGACACTGGCGACCTGCAAGTTTCCTGTTGGGTCACTGTAGGACTGTAGCCCCTCATCTGGCCACAGGGCTCTGTGCCTCTTCGGCCATTTCTACATTGGCTGCCAGAGGGGCTCCATGCCTCATTCATTCATTCATTCATTCATTCATTCATTCATTCATTCATTCATTCATTCATTCTATATATTAGTGATGTGTGTGTGTGTGTGTGTAACATCAGTTTACCTCTGTGGCAGTGGCAGCCACCACAGATGGCTGGCTTGCCTGCCTCCTCCAGCCATGCTACAGTTGCTGCTCCACTCTTTCTGGCGAGCTTGGAAATACTTTTTCTGGAGATGCTGGGGCTGGAACAATTTCTAATGGGCTTAGGCCATCTAGAATCCCAACAGTGATCTAGCAGATGTCTTTTCCTTAGCAACGGTATTGTTCTGGAGATCTCGCATTCCATAATTTGCTGCCACAGAGAAAGATTTTCAGTTATACAAAATGTGTACTGGCTTATGTTCCCTAGCACAGTTCACATGTTTGATATATTGATTTGAAATAACACTGGATACATCAGAAAGGTTTTTTTTTTCCTCAAGATAAAAATAAAGAGCACATGGTATCTTGCTGAGAAAGCTAATTCATGCCTAAAATACCATGCTAACTTCAAGTGAAATTCCTTCATCACTTTCCTATTCACCTCCTTGCATAAGAAAATGCATCTGTTTGCAGACTTGGCTTGCCGTAACAACCCAGAACAAAGCTCTTATTAAAAGGATCGACTCTGATGCTATTGCACTGCTGTTTGCCTTTTTAAACATTAGGCTTCTAGAAACGTGGACAGTATATGCCACTAATAACCATCTGCAGTATGCATTCAAGCTTATTTTATATTTGCATCAACCTATGGTTCACTTACTTTCTTACTTCAATATTTTCATAGGGTGTGATGTGCTTTACTGGATATTGTGGGAAACAACTGAAGATACTATTCTTGTTTTGAGAAACCAATTCTGTTTTCCATTCTAACAGTTTCATCAGAAAGGGCCTAGTGCTACTTGACTGTGTTATTTACAGGATATGACAGTATTAATGCATCACCTTACAAAGTATACAAAGAAAATGACTGACAGCGGATTAATCAAAATGCCAAAGAACACTCCCACGACTGGACCCACTGATGATCTTTTCTCTTCTTAAAAGTAAATGTCTTAGATCAGGGTACATAAAGTAAGGGGAAGTTAAATTTTCTCTGCACACCAACTCCTCACTGCATATTGTATCTTGCATTCATGTTATAATTGCTTATTTTGTCTGCTATATGAAAAAGCAGAGCCAGTTTGGGGTAGTGATTAAGGCATCAGGCTAGAAACTAGAAGACGGTGAGTTCTTGTCCCACCTTAAGCACAAAGCCAGCTGGGTGACTTGGGTCAGTCACTCTCTCTTGGTCCTAGGAAGATGGCAATGGCAACCCACTTCCAAAATATCTCTCTCTCTCTCTCTCTCTCTCTCCCTCCCTCCCACAACGCAGCTCTTTATCTGCAATTTCTATCATGGAAATGGGTCTGTACAAAGGGAAGAATGTATGCATGAAACCTCTCCAGCAATCTTTTCAGGGCCTTCCTATGATTATTCATAGGACAAAATTTTGAGAGATCTGCTACCAGAACTCCCACATAATATACAATTTAGAATTATTTACACAGTAGAAGTGAACCACATAAAACATTGTCCAACATCAGATGTGATGTTTCAGCTGATTTATAATCCAACATCTGGTCAGCAGTTCTTAGGTCCAGAATCCATGTGACTAGCAATGGCAAACAAGTGATGGATTAACCTCTCAGCCTCTCTGTACAACACCTCCTGACATCAGCACATGTTGACAAGAATGAGTGTCCTATGCAAAGTAAGAAAAGATGCACAAAGCATCATGGAAGAGGGAGTTTCATAATATGCTTCTCCGTGATCACAAAGAGCACTGTTCCTCAAAAGAGGAATCAGCTGGAGAAAGAGTATCTGCTTCCTTCCCTATATACTTCTATTAGTGCCTCATTTTTTACGTTAAGGTATCTTTTTAAATTTGGGTATATATGTATTCATTTTAAAAGCATGTAGGAGGAGGGTATAATTCACTTAGAGTATACTAACTACATTACAAACATGCAAATAGAAACTATATTACAGATGCAGCCAAAAGTATTGGTATCCCTCCATCTTTCCCCAAAGAATCCCAGTTTGCTGTGAAATAAGTTGAAAGTGACACAAGTAAATGACATCCACCACTCTTTATCCCACAGTCCACAGATGTATGACTTAACCCTACCTTATGTCATATCCTGCAAACCACTGTTCAACAGACCCTGCTTAGAATAAATACTGCATGTTCAACATGCTTTCCTGGTGTTACCTTCACCCTGTAGCCCCAAACTACTGTAATGGGACAGCTGATCCTCTGGATCCAGAACAAGAATTGAAACTAGAATCCCTTCCCTTCCTTGCCCCAATAAACACAGAAGTCTAGTAGATACAGAGAGTGGGCTGGATATCAGTCATATTCATTCTATTTGTTTCCACCCACTATTCTAGTTTAAGTCTTTTTGAATTTTTTCTCCACTCCTCCCAAGTCCTGGCCTCTCAGCTCCTGCTTGAGGAGGCAGTGTCAGCTGTGGCCAGGAAAGCCTTTGCACAACTTTTTTGTGTGCCAATTGCACCCTTTCCTAGACTGAAGGGTCCTTCACACAGTCACTCACATCCTATCACCTCGCAGCTTGACTACTGCAATGTGCTGTACATGGGACTGCCCTTGAAGAGAATCCAGAAGCTTCAACTGGTTCACAGTGTGGCGACATAAGCAGTAATGGGCATGCCTCAGTATGCCCATGTAACACCTTTGCTTTGCAAGCTGCAGTGGTTACCTGTTTGCTTCTGGGTACAATTCAAGGAGCTGGTTGTTACCTATAAACCCCAACATACCATAGGCCCTGGTCACCTGAGGACTGCCTATCTCCCATAGCATCTGTCTAGCCAATTTGATCCTGCACAGTTGGTGTTCTCTAGGTTTCTTTGATTAAGCAATGCCATCTATTGGGACCCTGGAAGTGCACCTCCTCTGTAGCAGCACCTGCCCTCTGGAATGAGGTTTCCCCTGAGATCTGGATGGCCCTCACCCTGCTGGTATTTAGAAAAGCTGTGAAGACCTGGCTCTTCACCCAGGCCTTTGGTGAGGGAGATGAGACCCCTTGCTTCATCATGCTTGCCATTTTTTATGTCTTATTGATTTGATTGTAATTTGATTGTTGTGAGCCACCCAGAGAGTCAGGCACCATACAAGTTTAGTAAATATTATCATCATCATCTAGGGAGTACAACCTATTGTACACTCTCTACCTTACCCTGAAGAAATCATGCACAAGCTCTAAGCCTAATATACCTGGCTCAGGAATACACAGCACTGTGTCTGATGACACTTTCCTTGCTGCTTGCCAGGTTCCCTGTCCTACTTGAATATTTTTTAAAGAAACTTGGAAAGGGAAGGGAGAGGAGGGGGCAGGAGAAGAAGAAAGATGGCGAGTTACAAATCTAACCATCAGCCTCTAGCATCTTTACTTAAAAAGCTGTTTCTGGGGCCCACATAAGTTCTTAGAAAGGTGGTTAGTGCTGCAGCCCAGAGCTTTGGGTGGAAGTATGTTTGCCTGCCCAGAAAAAAAAAAGGCCCATTTAAAAAAGGAAGGGATTGTGGAGGGCAAGAGGGGGAAGGAACTATCTCATCAATTTGCTGTAGAGGCACTTTGGAAATCGGCAAGTTGTCTCATGGCAGCCATTTTATGAGAACTCAAAATAGTTGCTGATCTTTGGTGTAGCTGAACTAGATGCATATCCATTTCTTTTCTACCCTCACTTTTGTCTCCCTCCCCTCCCTAAATATAGTTGCCCCTTCTTTCTTACTTTCACATAGATAATTGTCAAAAATAGCAGCAACAACAAAGAATATGGTGATGGCCACTCTTGGTGATTTTAAAAGGGAGGACAACCATGATATGATAATTGAATGCAGGCTCCAAATGTCCCAGCGATGTCAACCACAGCTGGAACTGCTGCCTTCCTGCTTGTGGCCTTTAGCCAGTCAAATGCTGAACTGGGAGGCTTCTGTGCACGTGTGAATCGACATTAGTCTTCCTTGTGATATGCTTCTTGATCCTCTTCATTACATTTGTAACAAGTGAATAAGACGGTTCAGGAAAAACTACAAAAGAGAGGAGAAAGAGGGATATTGTATATATTTTCCACTGGAAAAGATATATTTAAAAACAAAACAGTTTCCACCCAGGGTGTAAGTCAGAATTGCCCACACAACTCAACAGAAACACCTAGTCAAGATTTTACTAATAGAAGAGAATACATGTACCTCAGGGTTGAACTGTGGAGTCTCTGAGGTTCTCCGAGCTTGGCTGTTTTCTTCCAAACGTTTTGTTACCTGGCTAGGTAACATCTGCAGTGCTAGCCCTGAAGATGTTACCTAGCCAGGTAAGGAAACGTTTGCAAGAAAACAACCAAGCTCAGAGAGCCCCAAGGACTCCACCAGATTTTACTGCAAGGGTAAACGGACAGCAGGAGCAGCAACGTTTTCTCTTAACATAGGCAAAAATACACAAAAAAAGATAGCAGTCGTACCCTTTTTAACTCAATTCATTCTTTGTAAGGAAAAAGATGATATTTTGATCTCTAAGGAAACGTTTGGAGGTGAAAGCGGTCTGCGCCCCCGAGCTCCGCAAGGAAGAGTAAAGGGAGGGGGGTTTAAGTAGCGATCAGCTGCGGAAGCCCTCCATATCCTGCATCAGCACCAGGGATGGCTCGTCCGAAAGAATCCTTTCGGGGGCTGATATCGGGCAAGGTTATACAGTACTCGGCTGGGAGACCGCCCAGCTTAGGTTCTGGAGCGCATTTTCAGCTGGGCTGTCCTGGGAATAATAGCCGCGTCAAATCTGTGCTGCTGACATTTGGAAAAACACGCTCTTACCACCGTGTTGTCGCTGCAGCGTCTCAATGCAGCGCTAAAACCTTTCCCTGGGCCGAAAGACCAGGAGAACCCAGAAGTCGCTTGCGCGTTAAAGCTACCGCGCGTCTACCTTTTCTGTTCTCTTTACTGTGGCGAGAGCGGAGACGATAATATCCGCTTCCTGGCTCAACGCCGGAAGTGCTGGTCTCCGTTGGAAACGAGGCCTGGGGGAGCAATCCGACCAGGTAGGACGTGGGAGCAGCGCGTTTTTCGGCGGGAGTAGCGACGTTTTGAGCCGGGACTGGCGCTTGTGCTGGAAGAAGGAAAGGATCCCGAGGGAGGAAAAATAGGTAGCGCTCCTCGCCGCGGACCTTGTTGCTGCCGCGAAAGGAGGTGGGGGTCGCAGCGTGGTTGAGCTTCGGAATCGTTGTGACAGGCCGCTGCTGCCACCTCTCTCTCTTCCTCGACTTTCCAACTATGTATACGCTTTCCATAAAGTATGAATATTATGGAGGGCTGTTAATTTTTCTAATTAGGGGTGAGCTTCCGTCCTCCCGGCTTCGCTCCTGCTCTGGATAGAGCCGCACTGCGTGTCAGCTGTACTGCTGCAGGAATCGCCGTATCTCTTGGTAGCCAAGAGTGTGGTTGTTTCAGGGCCGCTCTCTCGACCGTGGAGGCCCAACTGAAAGCATGTTGTAAAGAAAAGAAGAAAGATAATTACTGGCCCATAACTATGGGGGAGGGGGGACACAGAGAGAGAGAGAAACCTTTAAACAATTTACTGCTAGGAATTACTATTTTTAGGACCGACCAAATTATCTGAAAACAGTTCTCCAAAATTGTTATCACGGGGATGGGGAATTTTTTTGTAACTGAGGGGCCATACTTAACTTTTGCAATGGTTGAGGACCATAAAGTGGGTGGAGCTACACCTTATATGTGCTTTTATGCCACTGAAGTTTAAAAAATGGATCTAAGCAGGTTACACAAGCAGTATAAAATAAACTACCCAGAACATCTCATTATTAATATGCAGTATCACTATAATATCACAGTTATTACAGCATTGTTAGTAGCACCCACATACAACCTAAATGTCTGTTTTAGATCTGACAGTACAAAATATTGTCCACTTCAGAATAGCAGGAAACTGCCTTCGGTTTTTAATGGTTGCAGTTAGAGGGAATTCTACTATGGCCTAGCAGGTTCCAGTTTGAATGGTACAAGTTCCATCTGTTGCAGATGATGAATCTTAATGTACTTATCCAATGTTGTTGATTAATGTTTGATGAATTTCCCCCGCCTCTCCCCCAAAATCCTTCTTACCATTTGTTTCTCTCTGCTGCAGGCAAAGATGGGTCGTAGAAAGTCAAAGCGGAAGCCTCCACCCAAGAAGAAGATGACTGGAACACTTGAGACCCAATTTACATGTCCTTTCTGTAACCACGAGAAATCCTGCGATGTTAAAATGTAAGCTGTTTATATATAAGTGATGGAAGAATACAGCTTCTCTGTTTGATGGCAAACAGAATTTGATATGATGCAGCCATTGAGGTTCTAAGTCTCCAGAAGAAAAGTTTTTCGAAACGAGCATAGGAAGATGTATTTTTCTAGCTAGGACAGTTTTAAAATTGAGAAAGTTTGGAATGTTAATAGTAATCTAGTTAGCATTAATAGTATAGTATTTTTATTTGGTATGCTTATATCTAATTGCAGTATGAGACCTATTTGCATTGCATTATGCAATCAGAGAGCGTTGTACTAAGAACTGGATGTGTAGCAGATTCCT